ACATCTTTGACTGTTTTGAGAACGTCGCTGTGAACGTGGAGACCCAGCAGTGGGACTGTTGGCTCATGGAGTTGTTCTGGGTCTAACTTTCAAATCCTCTTGCATCCTCCCCATCAGGGGACCAAGGACTCCATATCCTCGCCATCATGTATTACTTTGTTTTCTTAATAGCCTTCCTAGTGGGTATGAGGTGGTGGTTGATCACTTTCCATTAGAACTTTCTCTCCTGTCGGAGCAGTTGCTGTGCCGTCCTGACTGATGGGTAATCTATGTTGGTGGCACTCCTAAGGATCCCTTGGCCTCGATGAGCAGGAAGCAGATGGCTGCAGCTGATTCCTTTGTAGGTAGCGTTGGCTCACCGTGCTCTTTTAGTAAAGCTCTAGGTTTGAAAGCGGCTCTGGGCTTAGCACTTGCCCAAATCACTCCAGGAAATGTGGTCTAGTATTGAGAGCCCCAAGTCCTCCATCCGTGTGAGGACAGGTGTGAGAGAAACCAAGGCCTCTGCAGGCCCCCAGGTGTGTCTGATGAGCTGAGACTGGTATAGTTAAATCAGTTCTTAGCAAATTCGCGGGAGTACAGTGTTGGAAGCGGAGTGTATCTCTCACACTGAGTGTTTGGCTTTCAGCTTTGCCCTTTATTGGGTTTTGTTCACTTTGATGAACATGACTTTAATCTGCTATCAGTATCAATATGGCAGCATCACCGCACACCTCTATTTTTTTTCTGTAAATTTTTGTGAATTCTTGAGCCAAACATAAGTGACTGTTACTCTGTCTTGGACAGATAGTGAATACTCTGATTAATTTCCATTTTGCTTACTTCCAGAAGTAAGATTAGTGTATGATATGGAGCTGTAGACAAAGCACTCCCAATTTCAAAGCCAGGTAATGTTAAGAACCATTATTTGGCAAAGCCTGCTGTTTTTATTTTTTTGTCTTCCTACATCATTGGCTCAGTGTGATTTGTGCATTTTACGTGTCCTCCATTACTGTTGGATGTGATATGTATAAGCATATCACACAGAGGATTAGAGAAAAGGGATTTTGTGCTTAGAAAATAATTGAAGATTTACTTTGTGACTTTAAGCTGCATGATAGCTTCATATTTTAAAACCTCTCATTTGGTTATGTAAGCAGACATGCCCTGAAGCCTTGGAAAATGGGGCTCTGTCTCATTTTCACTGGCCAGCCCATGCTGGCTTAAGCAAAGGCTTGTTTAAGTACTGAGAGTCCAGCTTCAGGACAAACTATGGAGTGGGAGGAAGCTGCTGTGATGTGTGTCTCCACTTCCTGTCTGCCAAGGTCAGGCAAGCGTGTACCAGATGCATACTGTGTGATGGGTACTCTCCTCTCCCCGACTCTCCTCACTTCCCCCTTGCTCCATACAGCATGGGGAGACTGAAGACCTTTAAAATTCCAAATAAAAATAAAAACAGCTCCTCGTTTTTAGCCTGGGGAAACTGTGTTTTCCCTCTCGACTTGAGCCTGATAAGTACTGTAGTGTTATTGAGCCAATCTGTTCCTCATTTTTCTCCTACCCTAGCAAGGCTTCTCAAATGTTTGCATTATATTGTCTTACAAAATATGCATTACCCCGTTTAGTTTGGAACTTAAAAACAAAGGTCAAGGCCCACCGTTCATCATTTTGGAATCTCTGGCCCTTGCTCAGCTTTCTGGGCTGTCCTCTCCCAGACCAGTGCTATGTGGAGCCAGAGTCTGAGAACACAGGCTTCTCTTGCCTGCCCAACTCGGGTGGGGGTGGGGTAGGAGGAGGGAGATAACTGGGCTTTCTGTCCCTGCTCCTGGGCACATGGTTTCTTTCTCTGAAGGTGATCCGTTCTGAATCTTGGGTATCTGAACAGGCCTTGCAGGGTCTTTATGGTCAGATAGCTCCCACATGACCTTTCACTTCACCTCCCATTGGGTGAACCCACCTGTTTCTAGGGGTGACTTTCATGTCAGGGAGGCTAGGAAGAAGTAATCTTGGGGGTAGCTGGGATTTTTCATGGCCCCTGCAAATTACACTGTGTAGTGAGGGCCTGGAGCTTCTTGGGGTAAAATTTGATAGATTTTTTGAGTCACAAAATAAAAATAATTCCGGGTCGAGATTGATAATTGCATTGAAAGGTAAATGGGGATAGAAAGGACAGATTAAAAAAAAAAAAAAACATTCAAATGGATTTGACAAATACAGGTTTTCTTAAGTGTTCACCTGAATGTAGAGATGGTTTAAAAAAAAAACCATACACACAATGTCGAACAATTAAGTAGGGAATCCAAATGCTCATTTCCCTTTCAAAACACCATATCCATAATAAACCATGATGAGGAAATAATGCCCCTGTGACCCTTTTCCCTTTGTAATTTGTCTTGCTAGTTCCAGTGAGCGAGCGATGACTTTGTGCCTGGGGAGAGCCAGGAGATGAGATTAATTTGTGCCATTACAGCCGTGCTTTATTATCCATCCTTGGAGAGGGCTGGAATGAAGATACCAGAAACACTGCGGGAAAAGCTGTTCTGAGGGCTTGGAGGAGCTAAGTGCCACCCTTTGCGGTGTCTCGGTGTGGCTGGGGCAGCCTGGGAACTACTTGTCTCTTCTCTGTCCCTTCCTGCCATCCTCGTGGACCAGTGCAGTGGCCTGGCAGGTGGCTAAGGAGGACCCTTCATTCGGGCATCTCAGCTTCTAAATTTTTTATTTTTATATTTTTTTGAGGTTTATTTTGAGTGAAGGAGGGAGCAGGGGAGGTGCAGAGAGGGTGGGGGGGGGCAGAGAGAGAATCCCACACAGGCTCCACACTGTCAGCTTGGAGCCTGATGTGGGGCTCAAACCCACGAACCGTGAGATCATAACTGGAGCCAAAATCAAGAGTCGGGCATTTAACTGACTGAGCCCCCAGGTGCCCTGGGCATCTCTGCCTCTAAAAAGATGCGCTTCAAGACCTCTTTGGCTATCACCTTTCTGTGGTTGGTCCTCTCCTACCTCCAATTCTGCTTGGTTATGCCTGGCCTGCCTCTTTTTTTTTTTTTTTTTGAGTGACGTTGTTTAACAACCACCTTAAAACTATTTTAAAAGAAAACAGCCCTCCCTTATCCACTACCCTGACAGGGCATACCCACATCTTCCTCCTCTGAGTTACTTTATTTAATTTTTATTACTTTTAAGTAGACTTCATGCCCAGCGCAGGGCTTGAACTCATGACCCTGAGATCAAGAGAATTGGTTGCCTAACCAATGGAACCATCCAAATGCCCCTTGGTTATTTTATATATATATATATATATATATATTATATATGTGTGTATATATATTTATACGCACACATATATATTTTTATATGTATTTACATATATATGTATATATACATACACATATATAATATACATATACATAACATTTACTTTAAATACATATGTAATATATATACTTCATATGTATTCCTTTTTTGCCACCCATGTATAAAACCTTGGCAACACCTCCTCTATCTTTTCTGTTCCTGTCAACAGCTAGGACGTAGTAGAAAGAAAGGGGAGATCATAGTTCCTTTTGTGTAAGATGTATACATAGTGACACTTGTTAAGTAGTGTTGAGGATTCAGCTACATGTTGCATGTGCAAGGACCCATCAAAGTGACACATAATAGGATGCTCAATAGTATCTGGGGTCGGCTGGCAAGTCAGGTCAGTTCTTCAGTTTCTCTGGCATCTATTATTTCTGTTTCTCAGCAGACTGAATAATGACAGGCCATCACTTTATTCCTAGATTATATGAGAGACTTCTAATTGGACCTATTGGCTCAAACCTAGTCCATTAAATTCTTCCTTTTGGCCACCATTTGCCTTCCTAAAGCCCTGTTTTTGTCCATGTTACTCTTGTTCAAACCTTTCAGTGGCTGCCCGTGCTTATCAGGAACCTTCTAAATGTCTTAATGGCCACTCAGGGGCCTCTCTTACTTTCTTAATACTAGGCTTGGTACTTGTTCTCCCCTTGGGATTTCAGCTCTCGGCAAACCTGCTGCCATCTCCCTCTCACGGAAACAACTGATCCTCTTTGGTTGGCTTTGTCCACATGTGCAGGGAATCGTGGTATCTTTGGGGGAAGAAGAGAGCCCAGAATCTGGGGAGCTCTAGCCTCCCTTCTGCAGCAAGGACTTAGGGCTGACCCAGTGCTTCTGAGGATATGCTTTTGAGCTTGCCATTCAGCAAAGAACGGTGGAGTAGTAGGCTCTACCCTTTGGAAGACTTGAAGCTTCGGTGGAAGGACCACCTAAGTCATTTACTTTTTTTGTATCCTCTGCATTATACTATCCATAAAATCTCTTAGGGGATTACTTACTAATGCCTATAACCATTCTTTGACCCATCCTCAACCATGTTCAACTTGGAAAGCATGTGTTGTGTAGTAGATTTGGTAGATTTGTAGGGAATCCCCCCAGCTGGTGATAGCATTTGTGGCCAGCAGTCACGTATACGAAAGTGTGAAGGTGTTCGCCTTTTTTGTTTTGTTTTTCTATTTCAAAGGGCTTTCTGCAGATTGAGTTTGTGATCTTAAGGAGTTGAGTTCAGAATTCTGCTGAGTAGTTCTGCAAACCACATATAGAGATACTGCTGTATGTATAATTATTATTTTTATTTTGCCCACAGGGTGTATGCATGCATTGTGTATTGGTATAGGACAGTGCAAAGTACTTGACACTTTGATTCACGGTTTATACCTTGGGAAATTCTCTTAGAACCTCTGGCCTTCTCTCTTTCTCTCTCAATTTTAGAGAATAGGAACTAGGTTTTAGGTCTCTTTGGGCCTTGAGTCCCAGCATTTTATGGTTCTACTATCTATAAGTCTGACTGATACCAAACACCACTGAGTCCTGAATAAAATGCTTTCTGATTGCTGTTGGAGATTCTATTATGAAATGAAATTGACTTCTAACAGCACACAGCCCTGTTTGGAAAGCAAAGTTTGTATGTTAAATTACTAATTTTATTTTTCTTTTCTTTCCACCAGTTTGCTGTTTTGTGGTTCACAAGAGGTGCCATGAATTTGTCACTTTTTCTTGTCCTGGGGCGGATAAGGGACCGGACACTGACGTAAGTAGTCTGGAAACTATTATTTGATGTTAATGCAGATCTTTGACTTCAACCCCTTTTTAATGCCTGTATAACTGTTGTTTTGGCACATATTCTTAATGGGAAGACTTGTCAATGGGTCCTTTACAACCTTGGCTGGTCCCGGTGAACAGATATATAGTCCTTTCGAGCCCTGGCAGGGGTAGTTCAGGGTCAGAGGAGAATTTGTTAGCTTGTATTCTTCCACTCTGGGCAACCACATGGACTAAGTCCACCAAGTTTATAGTAAGGGCTTTCACTAACACAGTGTGGTTCTTTTCTGAAGATGTTGACAAATTTTACAACCTAACCATGAATCACCCTTTATGGTTCATCCTAACGGGTTATTATTGACTAAAAGGACCATCCTTGCTTTTAGCCAGTGCGACCTCTTCTTCCTAGTTTGCTTCATGAGATCCTTGCTCCCTTTTCATTATGTATTATAAATGCTGCTGTTGATTTAAATAATTTAGCATCTGTTCCACTGAACAACTGATCTCTGAAGCTACCCATGTGTGAACACATAATTTGATTTGTGCCCTAATTCTACCTGCCTCTAGTGAGCATCTCTCTTGCTTGCATCTCTTGTTTACTGAAAAATGGCATCAGCAGAGGAGAGCAGGAGCCAGGAGGCATGGGAAATACCAATACCTAAAATATATTGAGTGGAAAATTGGGCTGTTACATGGAAAATATTTTAACAACAACGGAATTGCAGGGGAGGCCTAGGACAGGAGACATTTCTATTCCGAATTGCTTTTGTGGGACCACTTCAGTCACTAATACTTGCATTATGTGCCCCAAGTGTGATTCCTACCTTTGGCTCTTGTGCTTATCAGGAAGCACAGATTTCAAATCAGCCTTGTCCGTGCAGGCAGGGCTGAAATCTTTCCTTTTCTGAAGAGGGCGTACTCCCGGTGAGCTCTGAGGGGTTCCGATTTGCCTTATTTTGGCGCAGTAGTGAAGGAACTTAAACTACATTTCCACTCAGGTGCTGGTGGAAAGTGCACAGAGCAGGAGCCCTGGGCTCTGAGCTGCTCCTGGCCCCGCAGAGGCTCTGCATGTGGGAGCCAGAGAGACTCTGAGATCATCCTGTTTTATATGTTCATGGACCAGAAAGCCCGCATCCATGGGCGGCTCACCTACATACAAAAAACTAGTGTGCACCACCCCACCCTTTCACATGCCATTTCTTTCTGGAATATTGCCTCCATTTGGGACATTTTAGAGGTAAAAATAGATGGAGAGGAAGAGGACCAGCTTTCCAGAAAGTTGGCCTCAAACATCACATGGTATTTCTTTAGCCTCCTTACTCATTATTCTTGGCCCATCCTTCTCTTCTCCGATTTTGGCTCCAGCAAAAATGGTGTGTCTGTCTGTCTGTCTTTCTGTCTCCTGCCCACAGGAAAATAGTTTTTGTCTGACTCTTTCCCTTCCTTCCACTTTATTCTTTTGGCTTAAGTACCCTTTATTAAGTACTTAATATGGGAGAAGATAGACATTAAAGTATCACTAATTAGAGTAGAGGCTCTCTGAGTGTGTTTACCTAAGGGATCGACTCTGGGTGGCCAGAGGCTTCCCCAAGGAAATGGCATTTAAACCAAGCTTCAGGAGCAAGTGGAGATAGGCAGGCACAAGGGAACGTGTGTGCACGCACGCTGGAGCATAAAGGAGCCCCATGGAAGACTGTCTCAGTCAAAGGGAAAAGCAAGTGAGAAAGCCCTGAAGCGGGAAGATGTTCAGTGTATAAGAGAAAACAAGAAGGCTGGTCATCACATGTGTAGTCAGGGATTTTGAACACAAGGTTAGGAATAATAGGGATCCAGAGAAAGGGTTTAAACTAGGAATGATGTGATTCTGTTGACATGTTATATGATTTCTTTGCTTTCCTTGTAGGAAACACCAACAGCAGAAATGGGTTTGATGTAGGGGTGAGGAAGGTGGAAGGACCTCGAGGTAAAGGGAGGCAGTGGGGATAGACAGAGTGAACTCACTCATGATACATTTAGGAGCTCGTCCCCAGCTCTTGGCCATTGGAGGATCAGGGAGGTGAAGGTGTTGAGAAAGACTCTCAGGCCTCTCGCCCAAACCTATGACTGTATGGAGGCCATGGAGAAAGAATGTGTTTGGAAGTATGGGACAGGGCGGGCAGATCAAGGGATTCTCTTCAGACCAGCTCAGTTTGAGAAGTCTCAGTGGAGAGCACAGTTATCTGCGCATGCAGGTGTGGAGTTTGGAAGTAGAGTGTGTCCTGAAGATAAAGATTCCTCTGTTTTGTTATTTTAAAGTTTGGGTGTGGATCATCTTGCTAAGAGAAGGAGGTATAGAATGCGGAGAAAAGAGATTAGGGCCCAGAAAAGAGCACTGAGGGGCTCCCGTGGGTTGGATGGGAGAAGGGGGCTGGGAAAGGGAGACCAAGGAGGGGCAGGTGGAGAGGCCGATTTAACATTTCCTAGAGGGACCTTAGATCAACTCTCTGAGTACATCCGTGATTGTGTTATGAATTTTGTAAGCTTTTGATATCACACATAGATACATAATGTACACCCCAGTTTGCACGGGGCTGTCTTGTTTACACGAGGAAGTCTTGGTTTATGCCTTCTACAGCTTAATGTCCCTTAGTTATTTTTAGCAGCCCCTTTCATGCCCACAATTCTTACCTTTTTTTTTTTTTTTAAATATTTATTTCTGAGAGAGAGAGAGAGAGAGACAGCGTGAACAGGGGAGGGTCAGAAAGAGAGGGAGACAGACTGTGAAGCAGGCTCCAGGCTCTGAGCTGGCTTTCAGTACAGAGCCCAATGTGGGGCTCGAACTCTTGAACGGTGAGATCATGACCTAGGCTGAAGTCGGATGCTTAACCGACTGAGCCACCTAGGTGCCCCAACTCTTACCCTGTTTTGATGATCAGCATGTGCCCCCCCCCCCCCACAGTCCTTGAAGCCGCAGCCAAGCATAAAGCCTTAGTGATGGTCTGCTGGGTGTGAAATACAGTGGGAGGGACACCTGTGATCTGATGCGTCTCAGTTCTGTCCCTACCTGGTGTTGTGTTGACCCACTGTACGTGCTCAGTCTCACATTTTAATATCCGTGAAAGTGAAGATAAGAGACTTCTCTTTTTTTTTAATTTAATAAGAGAGAACAAAGAAGTACAGCCTGTGCCTTCTCCTCTAAGGAGAACATTTGCCTTTTGGTCGTTGGCATTGAGAGGCTGATCCTTAGGACTTTGTGCAGCCAGGGCAGGAGAAGGCTCTTCTGTGTGCGGGCCGGTGTTAACTCCCTGTCTGGATTCGCAAGATGCCGAAGTTGGAGCTGCACCGGGGAGGTAGCTGGAAGAGCATGAAGGTGTCAGGACAGACAGAGCTGAGATGAGAAGGGAGGATTTTCTTACTTGTTCTTTTAGAACGTTTTAAAGTGCTCGGATTCTAGAGCTGGAAGGGGTGTTAAAGACTTACCTAGGTTAACCTTATTTTATAGATGAGACCGAAGCATAGAGAAGAAAGGCATAAATGATCTGGGGGCACTGTGACATGTTGTCCCCTTGGTGTCCAGTGTGTTAGTGGTGGACTCGACGGCCATGGAAGGAAAGAGGGGGCAGGGCATGGCCAGTCAGAGAAGTTGCTAGCTCATGTCTTGGTGTGTTAATCGTTCAAAGTTCTGCTCACACACTTAGAAAAGTGCTAAAGGGCATGAGAAAAATGAATTAAAGGAACGGGGATCAGGAAACAAAATGCAACCAAGGAGAAGGAAAAAAAAAAGACCTTAAGCATCCCCACCCCCCCAAAATTTAAAAGTTTTCTAGACTAAGACTTGTTTCATCCATGGCAAAGGCTTAAGCTGCACACAGCATGTGCTGTTGGATGATGCAGGGTCGGAGGATACCAGAACGCTCCCACATGGGTCCGAAGGCATTGATGGACCCCATGACGTGCCCCAGTACTGTCCTCAGTCTGTCCATCCTCAAGATAAAAAGACAAGCACTTAAAAGTGAAATAGCAGTGCCTCGATCCCAGTAGCCAGATGGCAATAGCTAAACATTCTTTGGAACACAGATCATTGAAAGAATGCAGAAGTTGTAGGGAAACTCGGGGAGGAGAGAGGGTGTCTGGGTTCCCTGGCAGGACCCCCCTTCCCCCACCTGGCCATGTTCTCCGCCCTCCCCCACCTCTGGACGGGCAGTGTTCTGTTGCCAGACATTCCCTGCCGCCAACATGTCTGGAGATCAAAGCCACGTGTGTCTGAGGTTGAAATGCAGCCTGCTGCACACCAAGGAAGTGGGAAGAGGAAAAGGAAAGGCTCGGTGTTGGAAAGGCACTTTGGGTAGGTGCTTGAGGCTCTGCCCAGCACCCCTGCCCCCATCCAAGATCTTGTAAGATGACAAATAACGAAAATGGCCCATGTTTAGAAAGAGCTGACTTCCTTTCATTCCTCGCCCTTCCCACCCCCCCCCCCCATTAAGACATGAACTAGAACATGGACAAGCACAGGAAGGACTCTGACCTTGTTTGCCTTTTGGGGTGGGGGATGGGCAGTGTGATTTTGGACAGTGCTTTTGTTTCTTCAGCGGCCACTGATCCCCTGAGCTGATGTTGTTCTCTTCCTTGCTCTGGCCACGATGGGGTGGGCGGGTAGGTGGTGGGTCAGAGAGGCCTAACACCTTCCTCAGACTCTTCCCTTCACCATTTAAAATTTCAGCTCACCAGCTGCTTTGTCTTGCATTCTGGAACTCCTCCCACTGCTTAGAACAATCTACCCTCAAATTCAGTCTGTTCATGAAGCCCATCCTGCTAAAGGGGACCAGGGTATTCGGGTCTTCAGTATGAGTGTATATGTGTGCGTGTATGTGTGCTTGTGTGTGCGTGTTTATTAGCACATTCAATCTTCTTTTTCATACCTTGTGTTTCCTGTGGTTGCCTTCAGGTGGAGAGAACAGTGCGGCAGACCTTTCAGACATGCCTACCAATCTCTGTCCTGCCCTGAAAACC